GAAAGAGCAGAAACACTGTTCCTCCTTTCCAATGGGGCTAGTTGCACAGGGGAATGAGCAAGGCACTGCATACAGACAAACGTCACATGAAACTTTTTCAAGACCTGGCGATGTGGCCACTGTTGTGAAGGCCCAGACGCCGCCTCTTTCTCCCCAGGGTTTCTCTGCTAGAAGATACACGATGATGTGCGCTTCCCAGAGAGCTCGACGGTGTCTTGCTCCTGGATCAGCTGCTGGGCTGTATGCTCCTGGGGATGATGCAGCCCCTCCTGATCGCAGGTAATCAACACAACCTGCATCACCATCCCATCTCTCCCCTCTCACACAATCTTACCACACCACCAGCAAAGCTCCTTGGTCTACGGAGCCTGTCCTAAATGATGCTGTGAAGTCAAGAGCACAACAAATTCTGAGTTGCTCTGTTACTGGCAGATTAAATCCCACTGACAGCCAAAGTGTAGGGGCAGAGAGAAGAACAACCATAACCAACGCCCAGGAGGTTGCAGGCAAGAGCCGGCAGAGGAAAGGGCTGGGTGGAACAGAGAAACCCTGCCCCAGCACTCAGAAGTCCCAGTGCTCACCACCTACCCCGCTGAGGTGCACTCACCACCTCCAGCACTAGAGGACTCAAAGTATAGTAAGAGGGAGGGAACCCACAGTGGAGAGCTGTGGGGTGATCCAGACTCAGCCAAGGTCAATGTCAATACAAACTCTCACACGGGGAAGAGTATTAGGTTTAAAGCCTCATCGGGTATCACAAAAAGGGTGTTATATATAACCACCCAGGCTTTTCTGTGCCAATAACTCAGCAGGACAACCACATCCTGTAACTAGACAGTGGAACGCCCGTTATGTATTTTGGCAGGGTTATTTCCTTATCTGTTTGAGTGTGTAACTTCTTTTTTTAGCATCTTTATTTTGGTGACAAGGAAAATGTTCATATGCTACTACCCCTTTATTTGTCTTTTTTCTAGATGAAACAATTGTTTTAATCCCACATACAGATTTTTCAAGTTCCTAAATCTATCACTCACAACCACAACATTCTCTGAGAGGAGGGCCCAGTGTAAACAGAGCTTCAGATGAGGCCATAAAGATTTATGCACAGATATTTTCTTTGTCCCCTTCATCCAAATGCTGAAGATGAAACTGTGCCGGTCTCCTCTCCTGTTCCTGTAACTGCTGTGTTAGCCGTACACATAACACCCCACCTTTCATCTGTATTTCCACTGTCATAAACACCTTTTAAATTGAAAATACCTTGCAGCTTTTGAGTGCTGCTCTTTGCTCTGCAGACAGAAAAGCCCGATATAACAGTAAGACTGTGCATTGGCTCAGAGATAAACTAAGCCAACAGACTTCAGAGTGCAGGCTTCATTATCGACCTGCAAGGAGGTTTCAGTTTCCCCTTCTTCGAAGTGAAGTGCCATCCACAGTAGAGGCCCTGAATTTGCTGAGATTATACAGCTGATTGTTCTTTTAATGAGGCAGTAGAAAAAGAAAAAAGTATCACAGTTTTAGGGAATATGTCTGCTTTCAACTGGACACCAGGGCTCAATCAGAACTTGATGGACATTTTTACAGCTTCTCTCAGCCCAGGAGGAACCTCTGTATTTCTTTCAGTCCAGGAAGAAACTCTCTCTGCGACCAAAAAGTTACAAGACAGTTACCTTCCTTGAGGGAACAGGGGCAGGGTAAGCTTGTACTCCCAGCCTAATTCACTGTGCTGTTAGGACACAGACTGCACACCGAGACAGAGAGAACTGGCTGACACAATGGGTGCAAGGAGATGGCAATGCAGAAGGTGAAGTCCATTAAAGATGCCATGTAATGTCCTGGTCTTACCTCACAGAGGACAATCCCAAATGAAAAGATGTCCACTGTCTCATCGTAGCTTTGTCCTGCAGGAAACATAAGACATTCAGCTCTGTGAGAGACAGTTCCCCATCCAGCTATTCCAGGAGCTGCCAGTCCAAAGCTTAACTAAGCCTATTCCCTAGAGGACCCTAAAACAGGAGACAAAGCAAGGCTTAAATCCCCAAGATATGTATACCAGCTGCATCTTCCTATACACTGCCATCACATGTTTTAATCCTGCTGCTTTCTTCTACTGGGGAATTACAGGACAACATAGGGAAGCATTGTGTATCAGAGGCCTGAGCAAATGCTAACTATGGAAGGCTTCTGCCCATTTCCATTGATTGCTGTTCTAGTTCATCTCTACAGTGCACTCAGCGTTCAGCTTCCCCAGCAGCCAGCGAGTGCCCGCTCCCTGCTGCAGTGACTGCAGCGATAATAAATTACACACTAGCAGCACTTTGAATCTGGGAAAGCAGACTGGCTCCAGCATGCCATTCTCTGCTTACAGACACTCCCCTCCCAAGCCAGTATCTGATAAACAGCCTTGCTTTGAGAGATGATGTCAGACTACTTTCTTGCTGTTCTCTTGACAAATGCCAGGTCTGAGAGAGGCTCTGAGAAGCAGCCTCACACTCCAGTAGGGCCTGTAAGCGTCGAGAGAAGGAAAACAGAACAGCACACAAGAAAGCAATATGGACAAGAGTTGAACTGGGGGAGAGGAGCCCAGTCCTCCATTCCCTGGTGGGCTGTGTTGGACAATATTGATATCATAGCCAGCCAAACTGCCCAACCTGGTCAGACCGACCTGCTCATTAGGAGGAAACTGTATCCATTGTATTTCACCCTTACCTCAACTCTTGCAGGGGCAGTTTTTCCCCTAAGGGATATAGTTCATCCTTAATGCAATTGAGGGCTGCATGCCAAAACCCAGATTTCCCTGCACTTGGACAACTCCCACCCCAATCCTGAGACTTCAGCAAACCTGGCAGCAGATGACTTCTCCCTGGATCTATGCAACAGCACACGTAAGCCTCATCCTGGAGTTTAATGATTCCCTGTCTCAAGGGGCAGTTCCAAAGCATGAGGCTATAATAGAAATTTATCTCAGGTTCAGTCTTATTTCAGGCCTCTTTTGTCTTCCCTGTTACCTGGACCATAGCAAGTTTAGGTCTGTTGCCCTCCTGAAGAATCCTGCTGTCAAGCCAGAAACGTTACCTCGGCTGGTACAAAGGCTTATCAGGTCAGGTACTGTAAGAGAAGCGCAGCTAGGGTACCTGTGTGTATAAATAAGCTCGCATATTAGCAGGGCTAAAACCATAGGCTCTAATAGGTTTGATTGTTACTAGGGGCCAGAAGCTTTCGGTAATCCTATCATCCCTATACCTCGTCACAGGCTGTCTCCTCACCTGCACCCTGGTATCAGTATCTTACCATTTAGCATCTCTGGGGCCATCCAGTATGGGTTGCCAACCACCGTGTAGCGCTTCTTCCTGTCACTCTTGCGTAGGGTTCGTTTCTTGGCAGATGGCTTCTCCAAAGTGGGCTTTTTTCTTTCCTCCACAATCAGCCGAGACAGACCGAAGTCAGCCACCACCACTGTCTTATCCTACACAAGGGATTTAGTACAAGCCACTGATTCCCCTCAGCTCCTCTCGGGAGCAAAGAGGCTGCAATTCCTCTATCAACTGCAATTCACTATCATCAACTACACTGTAAGGGCAACTAGCAATGTTTCCTGCAGCCAGGTGAGTGTAGCAAGCTGTCTAGACAGATGTAAGACACCCAATTCATGATCCCAACTCATCATTTCCTCTCTTTATTGTCTTATTTCCTGTGTGGTCGCTAACACTAATCCCATCAATTTGGCTAAACTTGCCAGGGCAAACCTGGACCTTTCCTTTAAGACCTTCCTATTCTACCTGGCTGGGAATTAACTTAGACTTTCATCCTGGGTCGTTTGAAGCCTACATGCTAATCCCATATTCCAGCCAAGTGAACAAGGGCAAGGCTTGAGGGAATGAAGCTACACAAAAATCTTGTGACCTAGCATTTCAAAAAGAGAGAGCACACACATCTGCACACACCCGCGCACTTGTCTGAATCCTGAGTGCCAGTAAAAAAAGTCATCAAGTGGTTAAAAGAACAGAAGCAGCTGTAGAGAACATTTCATAGTTGAGATAAAGAACGGAGCTGTACTAACTCTCGTAACGTGACTGTTAATAGGAGATGCTACCACAGGAAAGGCAGTAAGAGAACAGAATGAAGAAACAGTGAAAGCTAGATCAGTCTGGAAAATCCTATGTGAAGATGAAGCCCCCTTGTTTAAGGCACTAAAAGCCTCTCTGAAATCAGTTCCACCCTGACAAAAGAGGGAACATCATGGTGAGAAAACCAAGGGAGGAAGATGACAAGGAGGGGAGCAGCATCCTGTGGGGAACAGAGGTGTAGCTCACCAACTTGATTAGGCAATTGTGTGAATTCAGGTCTCTGTGAATGATGCACATGGAGTGCAAGTAAGCCTGGAAACAGAGGGAGAAAACTTGGTGTTAGGGGTTCCCAGGCAAGTACATCCCTTCACATTTACAGACCTCAACAACCAGTTGCTAGTAGCCAGGGAGCATCCACAACCCCTCACACACCACCCTGCTGAAGCAGCTAATCCTGACCCTGGAGGTTTGCTCTATGACAAAGGGACAGTTCGACTCACCATTCCAGAGGCAATTCCTTTGGCAAAGCTGACCTTCTGCTGCCAGGGAAACGGGTCCTGAAAGACAAGTCCTCAATGGTCAGGGACTATCTTACTAGCCAGCTGGCGACAGCAATTCCTCCGCAACAGGGACTCCTGCAGCAGTCAGAGAAAGATGATACAGCCCCAGGAAGAAGATGCTTCCTGCCTCAGGCCACCCACAGCTAAGAAGCAGCTTTTCCACACAGCTCCAAAGGAGAAGACTAACAACAAGCACCATAAGGCTGGTACAACTAAAAACACACTGTCAACCTCATTGAGTAGAGGTCTACCAGGCTTCCATACTCACCGCATTGCGGAGGAAGTCCTTCAGGGTGCCCCCCTCAATGTACTCAGTGAGGAGATTCAGCTTCTTGTCCTTGTACAGTACACCGATGAACTTCAGTACATTGGGGTGATCCAGGCTGCGCATCACTTTCACCTGGGAGGCACAGACATCCCACCCCAAAGAAAAGAATGGAACAAGTCCTGACAGATTTGCTCTATGGTGACAAGCGCTCCAATGCTGGAGGTCCTCTCCAGGGATCACAGGGTACACTCAAACCCCCAATCTTAAGGCAATTAACTGTTGCCTCTTCATTTTCATACTGTGCAATTAACCTGATCTTAGTCTTTAAGGAGAGCATGCTTGAGTTTGGCTAACTTCTAAGAGACAGGAGCTCTCCAGGGCAGCTATCTGGTTTGTACTGCATGTGTCAGGGCCGGAATAGCAGCGTCAGATGTTTAGGGAGCTGCCTTTAAGCTAAATCTGACTTTGAAAAACATGGTAGGCAGCCACCAAGAAAACAGTTTAGCTTAAATACAGCAGGAGTCTTAAATATCTTATAGATATTGGCCCTCATCATTTGTATTTATGCACAAGGCTCAAGGGATAAATCCTTTATGTATTGCACAGCTCAATTTGCCTCAGACTCAGGCTGCTTTTTATCACTGAAAAATTAATGAACTGGGAGCTGAAGCCATGTCTATTGCTCAGTGTAAGTGAGTCACACTTCACTGCAGCAAACATTCAGCTCACATCAGCTTTTCCCCATGTTATGCCTCCCTCCTCAGCACCTTGATGCCTGCCAGTTGCTGCCATGATTACTCTCTTTCTGGAGAAGATGGAAGAGAGATCCATCACACTGCTGGCTCAGAAGCTTTTTGAAATCTTGCTCCTACCTCTGTCAAGAAAGTCTTCTGTGTTTCCTCATCACAGCGAATCAGCTCCTTCATCACCATCACCTTTCCTGTTGCTTTGTGAGTCACCTGGTGGAAACAGAAACCACAACTACAGGCAAGGTTCAAGAATACATAGCTCCAATGCTCTTGCAACTCTTCTGAAAGAGAGGGTAACATTCCCCTCCAACCAGAGAGGAATATAGATGGGAGAAAATTCAGAGCCCAGGGATCTGCAGAAAACTGAATAAAATTTCTCCTTTCAGAATTCAGCAAAGATTCTGTATGTGAAACAGAAACTACCTAAAGCTGACAGAGGATCATACCAAGAGATCAACAGCATCCCAGGAACCAGAGCTGGTCTCCATTTTAGGTAGCATAGGGCTGAGCATACAGGCTGTCAAAGCCTCTGAAGGCATCAGTTCCATACTTGTGCATGCCTCAAGTTCCCTTTCAAAAAGTACTTGCCCAGCGTGATGCTCACATTTTGTACAACTAACAACTACATTCTGTATCAGCAAAGGAATCAACGTTCACTTGCATCAGAAACCAAACCAAACAACCCAAAACTACATTACTACATGCTTTGGTTTTATGGGAACTCTGAAGCCTGATGGTTTCTGATGAGCTTATTAAACTTACTCATGTGCAAGTGGAACTGGGATGCACAGGCTGTTCAGTTAAGGCAGGAAGCAGTTATTTTACCATGCACCTTGGGAGCAGTGTATTGCTACCTGCAAGGAATGTCCCAGAATGGTGGCAAACACACAGAAATCCACCATAAACATCAGGTAATACATTTCCTGGCTCTCGACACGGAAAGCATTTCCAGTTCCTCAAGAGCTGTTCGCCTGTATCCAACTAGTTCCTGGCATTTTGCTGTGTTCCAGAGGTTTCTTTTAACCAGCTCTGCCTTGCTTGCGTGGAGTGCATGAGTGAGTAGAAAGGATCCAAATTCTGATGAGCAGGTTTTCCTGGAAATCCTCTCCCCTTCAGTTGCTTAACTTGGACAGCTCAGGCTCCCTAAGACCTCCAGATAACTAAACAACCAGGAACAGAAGGGAACTATTCTGACCAGATACAGTACTTGTTGCATCAAAGACAGTCAATCTGAAGCTCAAGAAAGGTGTACCTTTTTTTGCCTCATACCCTTTAAAATAAAAAGCCTTTCAGAAAACCTCCAGAACTGCAATCCAGAACACAAGACCCAGTTATAATATTTAGGAAGCTTATGAGCTCTGGCAAACACTGTGGCACACTAGTTCTGTTTGGAAACATGGGACATAGCAAGGCTTATATAAGTGGAATATGAATGCATGGAATAACACAACAGAAGCAAGAGTACAATATTCTTCTGCTCCCGTCTGAAATCAAGCATCCATATATAAGTAGCGAGCCAGGGAACACTACACATTTCAGCCAGGGACATGAAAGCCAGGGACATCTAATACCCAAAGATAAAGGGAAGTGAAGAGACAAAGACAAGACAAGGCTAAGTGGAATTCTTAAGCTGACATACCAGCAAAACTGAAACAAGTGTCATCATGAAACTCCAAGAGAGAAATTTTAACTCCCAGAGCATGCACCAGAACAGGATGGCTATTGGGTAATTTGAGCAGAAAAGAAACACCTTTGTGCCATTAACTGTGGGGACGCAGATGACAAAAGCATGCGACAGAGGAAAGGTTCCGCTTACCTGGACCTGTTATTTCTCTATGAGCGGAGGAGAAGAGAAATATGCTCATTAGTATGGATCAAAAGCATTGGGTTTGTAGTACTGGCTCACCACCTCCCATGAAAGCATGAGATTAATATGGTGGCTGGACACCTGCAGTTTATACAGGTGTAAGGAGAGAAGTCCCATAAATGGTGACTGAGTACTGAGGAGCTCACAGCACCTTGGTAAGGCAGAGGAAGCTGCCCCCTGATGCTGTCAGGGACGCAAGGATAGGAGCTGCTGAAGCACCCCCAGTCAAGAATAGGGACCTTAAATACAAGAGAACTGCTATTAATGGAGATTTTAATTGTGAGAGTCATGCAAGACCTGACCACTGCCACCACACTGACAAGCCATTTAGGCTCTGCTGCGGGTTCAGAGGTAGTCACTACATCAGCCTGGCAACCCCCCAAGCATGCCACACTAAGAGTAGGCGAGAAATGCTGTACTGGGGAGTTGAATGCACCTCTTCATAAGAAAGATGCTTATAAGAGAAAGTGTAGCTTGTCCCCCGTTCTCCCCACCTCACCCAGGTGGTTGCTGTGACACAGACACTCTGGAGTTCTAAATCTAACTCAGGAGATGAGTAGGTTGACATTCAAAGGGGACAAAGTCAAAACCGACAGCAGCCAGAGACACTCATGGTCCGGGAACGAAACAGAGAAATGGATCTCACTGAGCAAACCAGGTGAGTTCCAAGACCTATCACTATCAGCAGGGCAAAGGCCACTGAGACAGTGGCAAAGGATGCCAAGATAGGCAGACATCGCTATAATCAAAGTAAATGATGAATGTTAGGGGACCTTCCTCACCTTGATTGCTTGTCCAAAAAATCCTTTTCCTAGTACTTCGCCATGAATCAGGTCACAGGGCCGGAAGATTTGTTGGGAGCAGCTAGAAGAGGAACGTAGGGATTCAGAACGACTGATGTCACGGCTCAGAAGGAGCGGTTCCTTTGGAGAACTGGGGCCAGGAGACTTAGAAATGCTGTTACTTCGCCTAGAAAACAAAGGAGACAGGAAGATCAGAGAAGCTAGGAAAGTTTTGGTCCAACATATCCCATCATTAGCTCCTAAGGGACCAGTTTCTAGATGTGCTTCAGTGTTCTTCGTATCTCAAAGCCAGATGCTCTCCCAGAACCATGCAAGCTCTTTACAAACCTAGAGCAGCTTCCAAGTCAGAGCTGCCTAACAACAACACATCTCCTGCACTGTCAATCAGAGGTGGAGCTCTGTGAACAAGAGGAGGAAGCTGTGAAGACGCAGCACTTGCTATCTCCAAAGATTAAAATACTGGCTAATGACTAAATGAGCAACTGAGTGCCCCAGTCTAGGAATACAAGATTTTTCCCAAATCCCAGGTCTCAGCCATATTGCCTTTAAGGACACATTCTTCCGCAGCCATTTAAGGCTGGTAAAAATCTGACCTTTACGTTTCCTAACTGTAAAGACTTAGTAGCTTTTCTATGTTCAAGGAGAGCTCCTTATTTTTATTACGAAAAGTTTGCCATCCTGAAAGGGAATGGAGAGAGTACATGTCAACAGCAGAATCTAAAGCTCTCCACTGCTTCGCCAATGGTTTATACCAAGGCTCGTATCAGAGATGAGTCATGTCTCTGCAGTCATTTGCAATCGCAGGGCCGAGGCACAGAGCAGCCCAGCCAGGTAGCACAGGGCAAAGGCAAGCTAGGTCAGAGTCAGCGCTTCCAAGTCTTTACCTGAGGGAGCGCCGTCGGAGCGTTCCTTCCAGATTCTCCTTGATGTCCAGTGGAGAGAGGGAGCGTGGGGAAATGGGCGGCTTTATGTGGGTGGGAAGACGGGAGTCCAAACGAAGCCTGTCTAAGCGCTGGGAGACAGGGTCATGCTCTATCAGCAGCTGAAGTGTCTGGCTTGTCTTGCGAATCAAGTCCTCCACCTGCAATCAAACCAAAGGACAGGATGATAGCAAACAGGAGGAACACAAATGACAGGAGATAGAGGAGACACAGCAGAATGCCCCTCAGGAATCAGAGTAGAGAGTTCAGTGAGATCACTCCATAGTTGTGGTTTAGTTGTGCGCACCACAGCTGTCTACCAGACAAATCAAGTAGCCAACACAGAAGTTCCTTATGCTATCCAAATCCTCTTCTTTCTGGTCAGCTACAAGTGACCAAACACTTTTTTTTTCTTTTTCTGAGAAGTGTTCAAAAACTACACAAGCTTCCATCCTGAACAGTGCTGCAAAAAACAGCTTTGCAAAAGCTACATGGAGATTCTTCTGAGAGATGTCTATTGTGCTGCTAATGTTTTCTTCAGCACCAACAGTAAATAAAACCCTTGTGTAGTGAAGGTAATGGTGGTCTCTCTACACTCTTGCAGCATCTCCTGATATCTGTATAAAGCATTTACCTGTAAAAACAGACATGAAATACTTTTTTTTGCAATGGGAAACTCACCCCTAGGATCAGCTGAGCCTTTGTCTGTTAGCAGTTGCCTCTAAAAGGATCAGAACAGTGGACTTCACTAGCAATACATGAAGAGTCTTCACAGCCTCTCTGTCCTCTGAGATGTCACAGCCCTACACTTTTCTTATTACCTCCCTTCATGTTTGAATGCCACAAAATCAGAACTGCATCCTAATTGCATTTCCATCTGTTACATTTTCCTCTTCAGCTGGAAGGGGTAGCAAAGCTTGTCTTCATGTTTATTCCTACTGTCAGCATGAGTACTATGGGTGTACACACACTGTATGTAGGGTGAGAGAACAGCCGAGAAACAGAAAAGCTGTAAAAAGGCAGATGAGAAGGAGGCTTCATAACAGAACTCTACCCACCTCCTCCACCTGTAATGTACGAATAGGAGCTCCATTAATCTCCAGGATACGATCTGCAGGGTGGATGGCGTTTCGGACATCTGGGCTGATGTGCATCCTGTTAACTCTAAACATGGGAATTATAGTGTGTGTGGGAAGTCAGTTTAGCCAAAATTATAAAAAAGCTTCCCTTCATATTGGTATTCTGAAATAAAACAATGCTAATCTACCAACACAGGGAGCTACCATTAGACCAAGTGCTTAGGTCTGAGCTGGTTTGGGAAGAGCTCTTCATTTGCCCAATGGCAAAAATTGTTAGTCCATTACAATTCATCAAATGTTTTGTGTTGAGTGAAGGAGACAGCACTGAGAAATAAAGTTATCAATTAAGGTCATCACAAGAGCGAAATGGAGACCAAACACAAATGGCTATTAGCCAACATATGTCCCTGTTGTGCCGAGACAGATCCCCTCAGCAGTTAAAGCAGCTGGTGGGACAGCAGCACTGCAGAATTTTTACCAGCTCCCTCTGCAGAGACATGTACCTTGCACACAACCTTGTCATACTCACTCTTTCACCTGGACACCAGTGGCATAGCTGGAGCAGCCACCTTCAACAGACACAGAGAACCCCCTCTTGCCATCAGTAGCTGCCGGCATGGAGATGAGGGTCAGTGTATAAGGCAGCTGCTCACGCAGAGACTCAGTGGAGTGTTTTTCTATCATCGGTGTCAGCACAATCTGGTTATGGCACTTTCCACTAAAAGAAGTAAAGAACGTCATTATGGCAGTGTCCTATCCCTCCCTGCCAAATTCACACTTCTAAGTTCTCTTACTGACCATAAGCTGTAATTTTTTTTAGTGCTTACTCCATTCCTTCCTCCCTCCCTCAAAAGGCAGCTTCCTGGCATTCCTTAGCATAGCACACTAAGCCAGCTAAACATGACTTACACATATAGCAGGGAGCAACTCTGTGACAAAGCATGCAGCTCCGTCTTACCAGTAGAGAGTGGAATGTTGCACGAGCGCGTAAGTGTCCCCATCTTCAATGATCACTTTGCAGCTCATACAAGCAAAGCACTCGGGGTGATACTTGTATTCGCCAGCCACCTACAGACAGAAAAGGGAGTAGCTTAGGGCCAAAATCCATCAGCAGATACAGCTACTGCTTTCCTCTCTGATTAACATGTTCATTCAGGTCTCAAAGTCAAGTGGTAGTTTTTTACTGGAAAGTTATTTTAGCCCATTCTACCCTTCCTGAACCCCATCCTTGGCACCTTGTTTGCAAAACTTCTCTGAAACAAACACGTCAACATGAAAAGCAAAGCTTGTGTCCCAGGAACCTCTGCTATATTTGGCAGCTGCTTGACTATCAAAAATAGTTGATAGTCTGCTGCAGACTAGTAAACAAGATATTAAACCTTCCTGTTCAGTTGCTCTTGGCAAGATAACTAACGTTACGCCTGAATTAATAAAGCTGAAAGGGCTTTTTTTTTGGCAGACAGGCACTGCACAAATTCAGATACTTTACCAGCCAGCTGACAGAAAAAAAAGCGAGCTGAGACTGAGACAACAAAATACCTTTAAAGAATATTTTTATTCATTGATCTGTTTTTCTATTTTCCTTATGAGAACTTCCCTTATTGACAGTATTTTGCATAGACTTCCGCAGACAATAATTGTCTGCACTTTTCTCAGTACTTCCCTTTGAGGTAGCAATCATATTACTGAGTACCATGCTGCTTTTATTTAGGCCCTAGAAAAATAATGGTTATGTTTCATTCTTGACAATATTAAAGGTTAAATATTTGCAAGGTTGTGCCAAGGAGGGGAACATTTAGGTGAGCCCCATATTGTGCAGGCAGAGTTCAATGTTTCAAAGCAATTGGGGCTAACACTACTTCAAGACACCATCAGCCAGAAAACCACTCTGGCCACAGTCCAGGTGGGACTTGGATGGCAACCTTCCCCAAAGCCAGAACCTGCTGCTTATCCTGAGCCAAGAGGTTTGACTCTGCAGTGCCGTGGAAAATCACCCCATGGAGACACTGAGGCACTGTGCTACAGAAACTGAACAGATGTCCCCTTAATCACCTTTCTATTTCTCATGCCTGGGCATTTCAGCACCTTACTTTCTTCGTTCATATGCTTCAGATCCTCACAACTCCCTCCTTTAAGAGTTACGCACATTCAAAATTAATCTCTATCTAGAAGATGCACACACAAGCCTCATGTCTAATCTCTGATTAGAGATTAGAGTAGTAAGGAGACTACTACCTTCAGTTTATTTGGTTATCTGAATAGCTACGGCAATTCCCAACCAAGTTCGAGGAGTCCTCCAGGCAGGAGTCCTTTAGAGTCCTTACCATCACAGGTCCAGTCATCAGCAGAGAGCAGCCATGGCAGGACTCCCCAAACTTCCCCCAGTAGTCTTTGTGACAGTACAGCTTCCCATCTTTCTCATAGTACCAGTTAGTGAGGGGATCCTGACATTCAGAGCACCTTGAAGGAAACAAACGAACAAGGTTCCAGTTGGCAACAAGTCACAAATCAATGGAAAAGCTCCTCTCCTGCATGGAGAAAACAAACATTCAGCAGCAGCTCACCACCAGCTCTTCTAGCTTCGGATGTACTAAACCCCTCCATTTCCCAACGCTTTTTCAACTGAAAATTAGCACCAAAACCAAGGTTTGTAAGGAGAGGTGGTATCAACCAATACAAAGGAAAAGACAAGCTTCCAAAGTTTAAAACAAATCCCATCCATTTATTAAAACACATCAGTAGTTTTATAAATTCTGCCTTATAAATTCTGCTCCTCTGCTTCCTCCCTCTTCCTGGATGCAAGCTTCCAGATGCAGAGCTCGTAGCACACAGATAGCTCTGCTACGTTTCTGCTTAGTGTTTCTATAGCTTCACACCATCTTGTGCCAGAGCACCTGTCTCCTCAGCCAGTTTAGGAAGGGGGACAGGAGGCAGGATCCACTTCCCTATGCAATGCAAAGCCGGTTTAGCACCAACCTTTGTGGAATGCCTTTCTATTCTTCTGTAAGTAGACCTCTCCCAAAAGGTCAACTGCAGCACTACCCATTTGAGGGAGAGTTTTCAAAGCAGTTCATCCTTTGAGCTCCACATACTTATTGCAGCCACCAATTAACTGTGATGAAAGCCCTCCACCTTTCCCCACCAATTGCTCTCCCTCTCCTTCTGCTGATGACAGCACATGAGAAAAAAAACCACAACCAACCAGCAAAAACCCAAACAAAACTATTTCTCTAATTTCATGGAGTCTCAAAATCTTCACATATCAGTGTCAGCTCCCATTTCAACAAGCAACCATTATTAATGCTCTACCTACACCACCCCCAAGAAACAACCAACCAACCAACTCTCCCCCCAAAAAAAACACGGAAAAAGATGCAGCAATTCTATTACGGATATCATTTTAGCAAATCACAAGCAGAACCCAGATCTTCGAGCTTCCTGAACACAAAATAATCCTGCCTCAGCAGGATGCACTGGGCAAGGGAGTTTAACTTCTGCAGCACAGAGGTGTGACTTAATGGAGAGATAAGGCACAGACAGCAGTTGCTTCACTAAAGATTATTCCATTAGCCCTGGGCAGCACTTTCTCAGACTTTAAAAGGAAAATTAGTCTGGTATTGGCCATTTCTGAGTGCAGAATCCAAGGCGGGTTAGTCACCAATATCTGGTTCAAAGAAACACCTCAAGGATCAATGTCGTCATCCGTACGATGCTTTCCCAAAGGTGGAAGGAAGAGTTTCTTCTGCCCCTTACCCCCCCAGCTGTCTCAGTTACTACACTGGAGGGGAACCCACTGCACCGGGGTGGGGGCTGAGGTGGGCGTGTGCCCTCCTGGACAGCAGGCCTCTCTACAGTGCCAAATGCACTGCAGTCAGTTCGTGGCAGTGGAGGTGCACTTCTTACATGCTCCCAGGTCTAAGATGAGAGCTACTGTTGACTTCACCTTTCACAAGCTTCCTGAAAGCTTATTTGTGCCAAAGGCATTCCTTGTAAACTCCACCAGCTTGTAATGAGCGTGATGATATGCGAAGCTGGTCATGCTCCAACATGGAGAGAGTTATTTGCTCCATCTCAAGAGACTGCAAAGCAACAAAGTGAAGCTGCTTGTAAGCAGCCTATGGTTTTAGGGGAAAACACACCTCATGAGGTATTTAGTACCGTACCCTACCCTCAGGAAAGTTGGTCCTTCTAGCGTATTTGGCTTTTATAGTGTTTGTTCTCCCAGCTGAGGAGCTCCAAATCCTGCCCCCCCGCTTCCTCAGTGATGGGAAAGAACATGCAACGGGCCCTGCCAATTTTGTCTGAGGCAGGGGGAGCAGTAACTTAACATTGCTATACGTGGTACATGCATCATTACAGCCTCAGTCATGGGGCACTGTCATGGTTACACCCTGCTCGTGGTATGCAAGAGACCTAGAGGGCATTGCAGTGCATTTTGCCTTCAACCACTAGCCTTTGGCTTTCATTTGCAGTAAATACCCCACGCTGAATGATCAAGTAGGTGAGTGGGAGGGAGAAGAGAGCAAGTGGAGACTAACAGCAAAGATTTCTATCACCCTGTGGCAGGAACATCTGGCTCAGCATGGGCAAATCAGATCCCTCAGACTTATCCGACTTCTGCGTGCATGCCTGTACCAGTGTGTGCTCCAAGAGTGATTACATCTTCAAACAGGGAGCTGTGACCAGACCTGCACTTGGGATGCAGACAGCACTACTGGAGACTGTTCCACCAGGACTTCAAGACCTGGCTTTCTGTCTAAGTTCTCTCCAAGCAGGTGGGTTATTTATTTATTCATTTGTTTTTACGCACAACACCTTCCCTTCCTCACCCCTCTTCAATTTCACCTTCAACCACTCCTTTTTCTGCCTAAGAAAATCTAAATTTTTTGCAAAAACAACACAACTGCAATTCTGTTTAGACAGGCTCCAGAGGATCACGTACGCTTGTCTTCCCTCTACCTTTCCCCTACTTCGTCATGGTTTGATTCCAACCTTACAGCACTTTGATTAGTTTGCTTCCAGCCGGAAATAAGCACTGGTATCTAATTTGCAACACACCCACAGCAAAATGAAGGTGAGGGGGTGGAGCCAGCAAGCAGTCAGTTCTTTGCTATGCAATTAAACAAATCTGGGCAGGACAAGTTTGCAGCTTAAGGCTCAGAACCCCACCCGGGGCAGTGAGGCAACAGGAACAAAGCAACCAGCCCCAGAGAGGCTAGATGCTGGTAATCGGTCTAACTGGCTACTTTGTTAATCGCTGCCAGCAAGGACATGGCTACGGCCCATATTGCCAAGCAGCACCTTCTATTACTTACCGTGCATTCTGTAACGTAGACAAGGCTTTAGATTTGTCAGGTGCGGAGAACTGGCTGACAGCACACAGGTATAGTTTCAAGACCTGTTTCAACTGTCTCAGTGCCTTCGCCCAAATGATAAAGGCATCACATGATTGTTCCACATGACTCTCATTGAAGAGATATGTCAGAATTTTATCACAGAAGATACAAGAGTTACCACTCCTTCTTTCCCTCCTCACTAGAGCGCGTGGCATTGCAGCGCTGCCATTGCCAGGGCTCACATCAGCTGCGACAGGAATACAATTACTTCTACAGGTATTAAGCAAGTTAATCTTTTCCCGTCACCACAGCCAAAAGACAGGAAAATTTCTTGCTCCTCTGTCTTTTATAGATTAGAAACCGCTAATCTTCTCCTAGATGATTTGCTATTCTTATTACAGAGTAACAAAGCATGGTAATCAAGCTTCCTGGAGGACTGGTAACAGCCATACTTGATGTGTTTCCTCTCGCTGCCCAGCCACCATTTTCAGAGCTGCAGAGCCCTGCTCTGATTATACAGTCCCATACATTATGATTCTTTGCTTCCCAGCCTTGGCTATAAAGAATAAATTAACCTGCCTCCCATGGCCATCCTCCAGGAACCCCAGGGAGCGTCTGAGCCCTGATGCTCTGTAGCTCAGCCGGTGCAGAAAGAGTTCACAAATCGCTGCTTGATGGCTACTTGGTTTTGTGGGGGGTGGTAGGAGGATCAGGTCACAACAGGTAACCAGCCTGGTTTTCAGCGAGATGGGAGATTCAATTGATGTGGCATCTCTTTTACATCTAAATGAAAGCCAATACCCTCACGGAAGCAAAGACTTCCCTGGCACTGAAGAGACAGATCCCTTTGAGAAGGAGTCATTACTAAAACGCACCCCCCACACACACTGTCAGGCTAGATCAGTTAACGCTAGACAGGCTCAAAAGAGCTGTGGTTCCAATTCTGCTGGCAGGGAGGGGGAGAGGACAGTCACGCAGACAGAAAGCTGCAGAATAAAACATAACCCCAGCCCACAGCTAACCCAAAGGCTTCTCACCCAGACTTAGCAGAAGTGTGTGCACTGGCTACATAAAAGACACTAGACAAGGAAGAACAGATACTAGAAAACAGACCAAGTACTAGAAGACAGAGTGTTTAAGCTCTGACTATGCAAAACCATTTCCACACACTTAGGAGAAGGTGTTATCTATGGCTTAGCATGATGCCCTACACATATTACAAATAATGAACGTCTGCTCACTTTCTTTCTTCTGAAAGTGGATGCTGTTTCAGAAAGTTGCCTAAAGAAGCTTAGCAACTGCACAGCAGTATTTACTCCTATCCTAGAACGTTTTAACAAAAGGCTCCTTACTCCCAAATCAGTACAAAAGTGTTTGCAGGAACAGGATCAATAATGAGCAAATCTGAGTGGAGGGGATCAGAGGGAGACAATGAAACTGCAAGCTGTGCCTTTCCCCATCCATTCACCTTATCAGCACATCAGTCACCATCCTGGCTGTGTTCAGCCCCACTAACAGTTTTCACTGTGGAGATGTAATGCAATCAAAGCCTTATTCTGTAGCTATCGCCCTTCTCGAGCCTCATTTGTTCAATTGGACCAAGAATGGTTGTTAATATAAACCAAAATACCACAGGAGAAGAATCCTTCCCACGTAAGGGAAGTGTGCTGCTCGTCCCTAGTTACCTGCAAAGTACTTGATTTCTTTTCTCAAACAAGATTATGCACTGCCTCACTGCAGATTACATCACCTTCCTGAACTCGCAACAGCAGCATCTCACCTCACCCTGCGCTGTGCCCAAGCACAAGTGGCTTTGGAAGAGACACGAGCCATAGTAATCTCATTCCTCTGGCAGTGCAGCGAAGCACAGGGGCATGGCTGAGGTGGCATATGTAGTGTTGCTCTGAAAGGGAGCCTGCTTGCCTGGGCTGCGCAGACACTGCCTCACGGCACAGGTGCCGTTCCCTCGTACCCGAGAGATGTGAAGAGGCTGGTAATAAGAATCTTCCCCGTCGCCTCCTCAAAGCAAGACAGGATCCCAGTTTGAGGCTGGCTGTTCCCTGCACACAAGCACTGGACCTCATTCTTCACGCCTCGCACACTCGCTGCTTAGGATACCATTACAGGGGGGAGAACGACACTTTGAAGATCCACTGCTAGTCCTGCACAAGACTTACCGAAACGGATCCTTGGGAGCGAAGTAAGCTGGGGCAGACAAGTAACTTCCCATCTTCAACACTGGATAAACCGGCTCAGCCACAAACTTGTCCAACTGCCTCTGAACAGCTCTGTTCTGCCAACATGGCAGCAGCCGGTGCTCATTTAATCTTGCGCTGATTCAGATACTTCACCTCTCTTTGAAGCTGCCCAAGGAATGCCAGGTCTCTCGGCTGCTCATTCCTTTTCAGATTTTTCCTGACTCCCATGGCTATAACCATCATCTCCTGCACTCAGCAGCAGCGGCACCCTTGAGAAGGACAGAACAACTGCTAACCGGGCTAGTTGGACATGCTTCTGCAATAGTTCTTGTGAGCTCTGCCGCCTGCTAACTATTGTCAAGTTTTCCCTTCTCTGGTTCCACCCAAGGGTGGGGGGGAGGAGGAGCCATTGCAGGAGGACAGCGTGTGGCTACAGAGGTTGAATAAACTCTACTTCTTCGCGAGGGGTGGAGCTTTGATCCAAAGAGGGGCTGCGTTAGTAAGTGCTGAAAGATAGCAGCTTTTGCCAAAGAAAGAGCCAAGTGCATAAACGTGAAACTACTCTTTGCAGCTGTGGCACATTCTGATGGAGAGGTCAAGGGAGACAGAGTCTGACGAAGACAACTAGCCACATCTCCAAACACATCAAATTAACATTTACTACATACCTTCCTAAATCCCTCAGAGTGAGTGGGGTTACACTACCTTCACAAGTACCTATAGTCTGTTCGTCCTCTTGCAGGAGGTAACTCACAGTGTGCTTCATCCAAGGAAAAATTACTTTCTTTCCAACACTGTTTTAACCTGATTTTCATCTCCTGAATGGAAGCCGAGAGGTGAAAATCAGCACAGATGAGTACTCTCTCCTGCTTGCAGTACATGTAGTTATATCATTTTGCTTGCTCCGAAGCCAAGCATGATCTCTAGTGGCCTAATCAGCTAAAGCTGTTTGCAAGACACTCAGAAATGCAACAAACATAGGCTGCTGCACCAAGCCCTCCCATTTCTGTACAGTCAGCAAAGCCTGGCGTGCCTGAACACAGCCTGAAAATCATGCTATGTTCCAGAGGCAAGAGTACTCAAATGTGCTTTTACTGGAGATGCTCGTCTCAGCTGGCATATTGTTCAAGGGACGCTTGGGGCTGGGACAAGGCAGTCTTGGCTGCAGATTTGACAGCTGCTGCTCACTGTTGAAGTAAGCAGAAAGACAGGCAGCCTTTTGGGTTGTTTTTTCTTGTTTTTTATTTTTTGATTTTTAATCAGCAGCCACCTTTCTGGGGAAAAAAAGAAAAAGAAAAAAGCCAAACAAAAAACACCCCATCATTTTCACCCATTCAGTGCAGTTTCTAAGCCTGGCTGTAAAAGTGCAGTGAAGCCTAGTGCTGCAGAGCCGATGTGGCTGTCAATTCCAGCACGGGTCTAATTCCTTCTGACATTTCACACAGCTCTACTGGAAGCAGCAACACGGTGAGTCTGCGTCTAGGAATGCACTCTGGTCTCCCACATTCTCTATATGTTGCGTGCTGAAAGTGGGCCAGCGCTCACAATCCAACGCTCCCCTGGCTATCAGCAGCACCCCACAACACACACATCCCTCCAGTGCATCGCAGAGCCCCTCCCCTGCCCATCCCTACAATTCTGCTGCCATGGGCTGAACTCCCTCCAAGGGGGATTCCACGTGACCTCATAAATCCCAACTCTTCAGACAAAACCTTTGAAGATTTGATCCACAGATGTGATAAGCAGCCAGCTAGTCTGTGAATGAAGCCAGCAGATAAAGCCTAACTTCAAAGTAGTAAAAACCACCCAGACAGCTAAGCAACTGGGAAGGGACAATTCTGCTGCCATGGGCTGAACTCCCTCCAAGGGGGATTCCACGTGACCTCATAAATCCCAACTCTTCAGACAAAACCTTTGAAGATTTGATCCACAGATGTGATAAGCAGCCAGCTAGTCTGTGAATGAAGCCAGCAGATAAAGCCTAACTTCAAAGTAGTAAAAACCACCCAGACAGCTAAGCAACTGGGAAGGGATTTTGAGACTTCCTTAAAGCCAAAGGACACATAGTCAAATATCTATTTAAACAGGAAACATCTTATCAAAATTTTACTTTTGCAGCAAGCCCCAGCAGCAGCCAGTAAGTTACTTTTTCCTACACAGAATTCTTTTGTTACTTTCTGCCTTTTTCATTATCTCTGTGACCTATTTAAGAACACAATAGCTCTGATAAAAGGGCTCTGCAAAAGGTGTTAATGTGTTCATACATTCTAGATCTGAATTCCTGCCAGAATGAGTGTACTTCAAAAAAGCTGATAAACAGGTGGTGGGGGGGGACCTTTTCGACACAATTTTACTGATACTATCTCTGAGGGCCAAAATACACCAAAGCAAATTTCTTTTTCACCAACTGAAGTCAGATATCAGCATCTTCTCTCTTGCAAATGCTGACAGCATTTCCCCTACAAACATGTAGCCATCACAGCAGGTTGCTTTCCTTACTATGGTTTAGAATTGTACAGTAATTTTTGCCAGAAAGAAGCCTGAAAAATATAACTAGCAAATAAAAAGGAAAAAATGAAAAACCTCGACAATGACCTAACATGAAATTTATTGCAAATTGAGTCGCAGCCGTTACAGTTTTATCCCCACAGAAATGCATCACATAGCTATTGTGATATTCAAGTGATTAATATCTTAAAACAGCTGGAGTTAGGCTGCACATCTAGACACCCTCTTTACCACATAGTTCATGCTGTCCCATAGGATGTCTACAGACAAATATATTGCTCAGCATACCTACCAGCCTTAAGACACACGAATTTATCCTGGCATAGACAGGCACTTTGGTATGTGTGGGACTGCTATAAGCTGGGGCAGAGGCATCTGCTTCGTGCCTGAAGTGTCTGCAGCAAGTCTTTGTTTCAGCGTGGGCACGGTTTGGAGGCATTCCAAATACTTCAGTACAATCCCAACACCTCATTGTATTTCCAAGGCACTTACACATAACACGTGCTTTGCTGCTGTTGAAAGACAGTCAGCTCCTGACATCAGCTACTGAAACTGATACGGTTTTGATATGCACGTACCTCTGAGTGAAAGCTCTTGCACACAGCTCTCGAGTAAACTAAAACAGTGAAGCAAAGCTCATCTCCATCACTGCATCTTACTTCTAAGCAGCAGCAGAACTTCAGACGAACACAGTGATGCCTTCTCTGTACCTCACATCACTAAGCAAAACATTAGGATGGAGATAGAATTTTTATCTCCACCATACTTGCCTAATGGCCGCAGACCTCCTGAATATGCGTAGGCTGAGAAGCAAACCAAAGAAATTCAACCTATTGAAACTTCATAGATTATATATGGTTTTGGAAGCAGCGACTTCTGATCTGTAAATGCAGCGCATATGGCAGTAACACCAGCGCTTACACCACTGCATCTTCACTCACTTCCTAACTTGCTGCTTTTGTCTGTGCAGACTGCTAAACTCCTCAGGGAAGGATCCTGTCTCACTTGTGGAAAGCCTACCACATACTGGGCTGCGTCAGTAATTCTAATTACCTTGATATAATAATGCTCTGATAACAATGCCCTAAAGGACAAGCTGCGCAAGTCAACTGAAAAAAGTTTGGACTGGAATGCCCAACTCCTCCTTAAATATAAAGGGTCGTCATCGATGTCCTGTAGACATTGACAGGTTGTCTGTCATCGACAGATGACATCAATAGATGTCCTGTCATCGATAGATCCCCTGAGGAATGTGGCCACTTCCACCTGCAAAGTGCGTCATTGTTCCTTTGGATTTTTAAACTCTTGAACAGTCATGGTGATCTGTGTACAAACAGACACTTAGCAACTATTTCTCCCTAAATCTGATCGTGAGCTGGTGAATTTCAATGCTGATGGAGACACCATCAAAAAGACATTCCCAGGAGCCTGCAGGATTAATGGAGGGGAGCTCTTACCTCTGAGGCCCTATCATTAGCTTTCTATAACTGCCAGAAACTGGAGACGACAGGGGAGAAAAGGAGATTCTTGTCTTCCTGCTTCTACCATGATTCAACTGCCTTTTGTTACTACTGATCCTTCCCCTGCTCTCAAATTCAGCTGCTGTGTGTACAAACCTGACTGTGTTCACAGCTGAAAAGCTAAAGGAAGATTCAAAGCATCAAACATCCCCACATTTCAAATTCACCTTAATACACACCTTTGCTTACATCTTTATTTGTCAACATTTGTACGTTTGAGCTTCATATGGTGTCACTGTAGATCTATTTGTCCTGTTGTCTGTGGGGAGGAAGCAGCTCTTGGAAAATGAAGGCCTGTGCCAAACAGTTGGAACCAACAGAAGTGATCCAAAGTCTAGAAAATACAGACTATGAGAAAAAGCTAGGTCCAGGGCTTCTTCAGTCTAGAAGAGACTGATGGGAGACACAATTGCTGCTTTCAGACGAGAAAAGGTTACTTGAATAACAGAAGGGGGAAAAAGCTTGTTTTCCATGCCCATTGTGAATGTGACTAGAAGAAATTGATTTAAATTGCAACAAGGGGGATTTCTGAAGGTAGCAGACAGAAGCTGCTAACACTAAGGATAATTAAGTGCTAGTAGACATAGCCTGGGAGACCGAAAACCTGCAGTGATGGGAGATTGTTAGCTGACCAGTTTCTTGATCAGTCCAAAGCCAGAGAAATTACTTGCTTCAAACATAAGTGGAAATTTAGTAGGCATCCTAAGAACCGCAGAAAACAGATTTGGAAAATACCCTCAGAAGTCATCTAGTTTATCCTGCAACCGCCAAAACAGGTTTAACTAGCTATATACATTCTTAACACAAGATTGCCTGGCTTGCCTTCCCCTGCCCCCAAATGTAAAAAGAATCAAGGTGATTCACTAAGTTTTGCTGAGCAAAAAATATTTCTATAGCACACAAAATATGCCATTCAGTATAGAAAAATCACATCTTTGTAAGAAAATCAAATCACTAGAGTTGGCAGATTAATAGTGGTTCTCTTTCTGCTCAGTAGCCTGGAGCTCAGGGCTGATCCGGGTCTGTCTTCCGACCATGGACAACCGTCACACT